AAGTCATTTATTTTAAATTTAAGGTTTTTTACTCAAACTTCCTTCTTAAAATTAAGGTGTGCGTTATACGCCTGTGCGTGTTATACACCGATAAATACTGTAATTTTAGATCCATATTTGAAAAAATGAATCCTTAAAGAAACTCATAAATAATTTAAGTTACAGGTATTCCTTCCTTAACAACCCTAATTGTGACTGGAATTCCTGTCACTAACTGAAATAGTTGTTAGGTGAAACATCACGTGACCACATCACTTAGCAATGCCAGTTCTGGTAGTCCCAGTTTCAGTTATTAGGTGAGAACTGCACTGTCGTGAATTGCCATCTTTGTCCCCCCACCTCCTCTCCAGCTGGGCCTGGTGAGCTCCCTTCAGTGGATGAGGCTCTGCCACCCTGTCATGCTTACCTCTGCTTCAAATCTCCCCACTGCCTATCTCCCTCCCATTTCTGTCCTTTTGACCGTCCTCCACTCCTCCAAGGCCGCTTACTCCTGCTGCCCCCAGCTGACCTTCACCATCTTTTTCTTCCTACTGCTGATGAGGCACACCCAGCCGAGACAGCTGCTGGCCCTTCGCAACATCTTAGGCATCGTGAAGTGCCAGCAGCTGCCTCGGCCAACCACACCTCATCAGCAGCAGGAAGAAGAAGATGGCAAAGGTCAGCTGGGGATGATGAGGGACATCAAGGGTGACAGAGTGCAGGGCATGAGGCATTGTGAAAGGCTAGCAGCTGCCTCAGCCATGCCCATCTCATCAGCAATGGGAGGAAGAAGATGGAGAAGGTCAGCTGGGGGGGGGCAACAGAGTGCAGGGCTGTGGGGGGCGGATGGAGTAGCCGAGTGCAGGGTGGCCAAAAGGAGAGAGCTGGGGGGGGAGATAAGCAGGTGGGGGGAGTAGAAGTGCACGTTGTGGTTGTAAATGCGAGCTGCCAAGCACCCAAATTTTGATGTGACTGCAGGGGTGCTGCAATGGCCATAACTTCAAAGACCGTCATTACTACCACTCATTCAGCACCATAACTTCAAACAGTCACTGAATGAATGGTTGTTAAGCAAGGACTACATGTAGTGCTTCATAAGTATGGGAGGTATATGAGTCTTCTAACATTTATTTGAAAGGTTCTAAAGTGATTTTCTGGAATCAGGAGTTACTGAGAAAAGTAAAATCTACATAATATTAGCATGTGAACATTCCAAAAAAACAAAAAACAAAACCCAACCCCTTATGCCAGGATTCAGTTTCAAGAATAAATATCCCATTCTCCGCACGTTTGTGCCTGGAAATATTCCGCTGCTCTGAACTAGCAGAGATATTTAGGTATGCCGTATGAAATGGGTGATGTATTTGTAAAAGGGGTAGTTTTTAACTGGTGTGTAAATCCAGCCAACAGTGGTTTATTTAACAAACCACAGTGAACTAAATCACAGATTAGTATAAGATGTGAACTTAGCCTAAAGATAGGTCACCGATGCACCTAGTCTAAATAGTGTGTCTCTCCAGGTTTTATCTCAGTCTGCTGTCCATGTTCAATTATAAATAAGCTGCAAAGACCAAATTCACATGAAAAGTGCATGCTGTGCAACTGAATTATGGTCACAACTCATACAGCCATTATGATATACACAGTAAGAATTCAGGTCTTCTGCCTTGGATTATCAAACTGTTGTATCATAAGTTATTCTTGATACTTCTAACTGTAATGGGTCGTACATGCACACATATGTATGGGGTGTGTAGGCTTGGACCTCTGCTGATTCTTATGAGGAGTCTTCAGATGCTCCTCCCACAACCTTGCTCGACCATCCCCACAACTCCTCAGGACAGCTAACAAGGTACGCTTCTACCAGCAACTTTACTCCAGAGAAATCTTTGCCACTGACAGGATGAGGAAGGAACAAGGAGGTAAGTGGCAATCCCCTTTCTTCAGTAGCCTGGCCTGGCTGGGATGCATATGCTAAAGGCTAGATCTCTTCCCCAGAATTATCACCGATTCACTAAGAAATCCCCATTTTATTATATATATAGCAACTTCAGAGAAGTCAATGAAGTTAAAAAGAAAATGGAGAACAATATCAGTTCAGAGACTAGCTGCTCCTTCAGCCCCCAGATCTCCCATAAACACAAACGTAACAGGACAAGTTCACACAGTCCAGATCTCAGTCCAAAAAATAAAAGAGAATCTGTATCATAGCCAGCTTCACAGACCCTAGATTGCTGTTCAAATTACTAGATTTTAGTCCACCTGCTACTGGGTTAGGGCTTTGCTCTTACCCTGCTTCAGCCAGCTCTGAAGGAGAAAATATAAATGGCAAAGGCAAAATGGCAGCTCTTAAAGCCTACCTGAGAGGGGAAAACTACTCTCCTGATGGGTGCCTTGACATTTGATTTTCTTGGGCTTTATTATTTCTGTCCATTACCTGGGTGGACAGGTCAGCTAACTGTCCTTTTATTATTTCAGTGTCTGGACATCTTAAAGTAGATTCTTTTCCACATTCACCAAAGCAGTGTATTGTATGGAATGAGATTACTGAATGAAAAGTACTAAGTCCAAAAAGGCAATAATCAAATGAAGGGAAATAAACAAACGCATATGCATATGTGCGCACGCGCACGCGCACGCACACACACACACACACATTGTTAACTCAGTCTGATAATGCATTAAATAATTGCCTCTTACCAGGAAGGTATCTTGTTTGTTTCAAATAGTACTGTTTTGCTGAAGTAGTTGATATTCCAGAGTCATTTCTCTTCAGAACTTTGTTTTCTCCTGACTGGCCAGAGGTAGGGGACTTAGATTCAGGAACACTGAAAATTAAAATGACAGAACATCACAAATTAACTCTTAGCCTAGAGTCCAAACAAAGTTTTCTTACAGTCTTAGGACTGCTGCACTTTCATTCAGTAAAGAGCTGAACAGCACTTAGCATGCAATGACATGTGATAGGAAAACACATGAAAGCAAACCTCTTCCAAATAAGATCTTCCTATAAACTCACCATGGTTCAAAGAACAGCAGATAGTTGATCCTTACTATCCCTGCAGAGAAGGTCTGCGACGTATATGAATACAACTATTCTATTTATATGTCCTTTGACTTTCTTGCTTTTGTTTAAGGAGCGGTCTTAAAAAGGGGGGGGGTAATAATATTGCTGATCCAGTGCCAATTCCCTATTCTAGGGATTAGCAAGGATTGCCAGCCACAACCATCCTCAAGAGAAGCCTCTGCCATGTGCACAATCATTGGTATTTTGTGAGATTTCAGCCATTGTACCAAGTCTATTTCTACTAAAAAGAAATACAAGTCATTACACTTGTTCACACAATGTGGTTGCATGAAAATACATTATGCATGAGTGGGTTTGCAGCTCCACTGCCCTGGGGAAAAGGCTGTTGGGTATTTTTGTGACTAAAGTGTAGTTGACAACAGTCTTGTCACGCCACTTAAAACCACCATTATAAATATTTAGTCTTTAAGGTATCATAATATCATTTGCAGTTCCCTCTGGAAACTCAAAGCATTAATTACTGAAGATCTACTTACAAATCTGTCCAATTATCTTTGAACATGTGGCTAAACAATACTATCACTTCAGTAAAATGTACCTTTCCAGCTATAATAATTATATATAATTTAAGCATTACAGCATAATAGCAAATAATGTAAAACTTATCCAAATACAAGTATGCAAAATTTTACTTTGTAAAAATTGTACATAAATTAGTAACAATAAATGCATTTCTTTGCTCTGTATGAAGCAGGACAAAGATATTAGATTTTCCTCTAAGAAAATCCACTGAAGCCATGTCCGGATATATTAATGTTAATATAAAATATTACAATATTTAAAGCACCCATTGACATTATAACTGGTACACAATTCATTTGTTATTGTGCTTCTAGACTACTCAATACCTAACTACACTTCTTTCAGCAATGTACAAATAAATCAAAACATTATTTTAAAGACGTAAAACAATATGCAGTAGAAAGTAATACAGAATCAAGACTACAATCAAGAAGCATCAGTAACAATGGCAATAACTACCACATAAAACAATGATAATGAAAGTAACAGTAAAATAGCGAAGTTCTAAAAGCACTTACAAAAAATATTGTCTGGGGAAAAAAAAAGTTCTTCACCTGGAAATGACCATAATGTAGCTACTGGGCAAGCCTCTCTGGAGAGTGAAATCCACAGACAAAGTGCTACCACAAAAAAGGCAATTTCTTTTGTAGCCACTCACCTTGCCTTGAGTCTTAAGGTGGAGACCTTAAGATCTGGATAGGTAAATAAAGGAGATGCCCCTTCAAGTAGCCTGGCCCAAGTTATTTAGGAATGCACATTAAAACCAATACTTTGAATCAATCCCAGGAACAAACAAGAACATCATGGCTTAAAGGGATTGGATTAGCCAGTTCCACTTAGTACTGTAGCTATCCTGTTTCAAGTTAAATGAAGATTCCATACCATTTGGAAAGGTAACTTCACATATAAAACACTAGTAGCCCAAAAAAGGAAGTTAGAAAGTATACAGGTGAAACTCGAAAAATTAGAATATCGTGCAAATGTTCATTTAT